AAGACTACATTTTGTCATAAATTCATTCTTATTTGTGAAAAATATGACGATCGCTATGAACGAGCTGCTCGTATCTGGTATTTACCAAAATTTGAAATGAAAGTATAGAGGATGAAAATGATTGATGTTTCCAAAGTACCTTCGTCTTGAACTGCACAGTAGATATGAATCCTCAAGTTCTTATTATAAATCAAGTATAAACAAATTTGAAACGAATGCTGTATATAAATTGGTTCATCGAATTGGTCATACAAACGACCCACTAAAAAGTACTTTCATCTAGTCACAATCGAAAATTGAATGAGTTGAGACGACGAACCTCATATAATATTCGTATGTCTATGTACATCAGGAACGATACGTAATTATCATATTGCAATGATGAAAGTCGTTAAGATTATTTTTTCAATTTTATAGAAAGTGATGATTCAATCATTGCATCTCGATGTGAACATTAGAAACTAAAAGAAAAATTGCTGTATGATTCCTTAAGTAGAGCATTGTACCACCATTTTCCAGTTTGGTTTAATAATCTATTTTATTTGTAAGGTAAAAGTAAACAGAACATGCACAGTTGGATTTGTATCAGAATTCTTCTAAGATAATTAAAAAAATATAATTGTACTGAAATTCTCGATGATGCAACTCAATTGAAATGAGCTGAACAAGCCTCTTTTTTATAAAACTTATGAAAGATCGATCATATCATTTATGAATATGTTTTCAAAAAAACATTCCATAGATGCTCAACTTGAAACTTGAATTTAGTTATTCAACTATTCAGGATGAGATGTATCAGCGAGGATGTGACTAGTGAAATACTTCAATAAGTGAATAATTGAATTTAACTTTCAAGTTTGACGCTATTTCTATTTAATAGAAATTTTCATAGACATTTGTTTAGATATCAAAGTAAACGAGATGTCGAACATGTCTAAATCTATTCACAGTTTTCTCAGTACGTTAGTCTGTATTTTTTTTAATGAAAGAGAAAAGGAATGTGTTATATCATTCAATAAGTAGAAACTTTTGATAATAATAAATATGCAGAAGAGAAGTGAATATATCATTTACTGAGATGTTAAGATATCGATCAATTTTATCATTCTACTGTTTCTCTTTAAGATCTTTTTCTCTTTCAATTATTATTAATTTAATACTTGTTTCAAAAAAATGTCATCATTAGGCAGTACATTCATTACTATTCAACAAAATATTACTCGTTATGTCTATTCAAGTTGTTTAGTTTTTGATACAATTTGTTGCATTCTAAACATTACACTCTTAAGTCGACGACAATTTTGTACAATATCCTTTTGTTTATGGAAGTTCACACAGAGTATATGAAAATTGGTCATATTTGTATACGATATATTTTGTTATTACTTAGATTTCAATGTTGGATCCATAGGAATGTTAATAGCTTTGCTTTTGGATATTCTACCATATATTTATATTCACTCTATTATAATATTAACAAATACTACATTTTGCAAAATTCGTGTTTATATAATACATTCAACAACAGTAGTATTTCGTTGGCTTTTGGCTGCTGCATCCA